CACACACACACACACATTAATAATATTAATTTGACTGACATCCCATAGCTTTAATATGATATTGTCCCACTCTATACAACTAAAACAGCTTTAACTCTTCAACTCAGTCAGACAAGTACTGTTTGCCTAGCAAAAGCCAAACCTAGACTCATCCATTAAACTGCAAGAGAGAGAAGCATGGTTTGTCATTCCAGAGAACATGTCTCCAATGCTCTTGGGTTCACTGGCGGAATATTTTACACCATTGAACTGAAATGAATTGAAGTGGATTGAATTTAACTAAATTGAGCTAAATTGGATATGTATCCCTCTCACCCCCTTGGGTTGTGTCTGTGTCTTATTTTCAAGCTTGGTCCTCTACCAGAGGGTTTCAGGGTTTTGCATTTTATCTTCAGGACAGAGACCACTAATGTTTTGCTTTGAATAGGCTGGATATGCTATCCATCTTGGCCATTAATGCTCCTGTTATCACTCAGACACTTTGGACTTTACCATTGGAAGTCAGGGATTTCTAATCCATATGCATCACCAATTTTCCTGTATGCAATCCAAGCTCTTTGGTTGTGCTTTTCAGGGTGTGTGCCCCGCCTTGCATCTTATATCTTACTGCTGCTGAATATGCTCTGGGGCACCTTTGCACAGTTGTTGAAGAAATTACTTGAACCAAATTAAATTTGTTTATTTTTGCATTTTTTTGTTTATTTTTGCATTTTTTTCTTGAATATACAAACAAAGTTGTGTAAAGGACCAAAACTACTTACATATTGCAGTTTATGGATCCTTTCCGCATTAGAAATTGTTATTCTAGCATTAGAAATGACCCAGAGGCACACCTTTGTTTTTGTTTATCACTTGTAAGTCTTCTCTGACATGTGACAAAACAAAAGATATTCTGTTCCAATGCAAACACTTACGGTAACTCACTTCTCAAAACAAATGAGCATAACAGACTGTAATTATACTACTAAAATTTCCCTGCAAAAGAGCAGGGAAATTTTCAGTTAAACAAGAACCACTCCTAGATTGCAAACCTCCTCCAAGGCAACTCAGTGTCTGGACAGTATTTACTCTTAACGTCCTACACAATGTTTATATAAATTCTATATAAACATTATGTAGGTTTCAAGGTCAAAAAAGGTAAAACTTTTTTGACCTTGAGGAAGAGGTCAGAGATCCAACATAATGTTATATTTAGAATTCCCATATATCATTCCCTATATGCCTGTATGTTGTTAATACAAACAATGGCAGTAAGAAGCATAGTTTTAAATCACTCTATATAGCATTATAATCGCTAATAGACCTTGGGATATGTTATCATGCTGGATATGTTAACATGACCTCACCCCCTACAATGATTTATGGAAATTCAATCATAACGTTTACAGACAAAATGACACACAGCCACGCACAAGAAAACCTTACTGGTCATCATAAGTAAACTTTATTAATTAATCCTTTCTTTAAAGACTAACCATAATTTAATATATTAAAATGTATTGTGTTTAATTGATGTATGTTTTCCCAATAAAATATTGAAAATATATTCTAACTCCAGTACAATGCCATTCAGAGTGCAGTAAACATTTTTAGTAAATGAGGTGGGGCTGCTGATGACCAAACCACACAGCTCTGGATTGGATATACTGATAATGGGAGGGCCATATACTGACTTTAGATACAGTATATAACGTTGCCTAAAAACTTTTCCTATTTTTGTGGGAATGTGTAACACTATGCATCTACTTACCTTTCTTCCTTTGCTTTATCATGTTGGTATACTTACCTTAGTTTACATACAAACCTCTAATTTTACCTCTTCAGCCACATCTGCAGGAAAAGTGTGCATTCTTCAAAACAGCTTTGAGCCAGGCTTTATAGCTGAGGGTGACTACATTATTGCAGGAATCTTTCCCCTTCATTATAACCAAGAAATGCCAGACCTTAACTGTACCTACAAACCACTGCCAGTGAAGTGTAATGGGTGAGCATAGTACACTATTTCTGTCTATCTATTATTTATTGAATAATGTGTCATTTTGTTGCACTGCCTGTGGACTGTATTGTTATATGGAGTATTTATACATGCTATTTACTACAATACAGTGTTAATGTTTTTCACACATGGTTGTTGTGTTTTGTTGATAGAAGATGTGGTTGTTTTGTTTGTAGTACCAAGTGTGAAATAAATAAAAATGAAATGAAATGAAATGTTATCTAAAGTTTTAGACAATATGCCTAACTTGCTGTAAGAAAGAGAGAGTAAAAAAACAGGGGAAAAGTAATCTACTGTGCTAATGCACAAGACAGCTGTAAGTCAAATTACTACTAATTTTAAATCAGAACAACGCTCGAAACGAAAACACTGTTTTCAGTGTTTCTCCACTCTTGTTGTGTGTAATGTGTATTGTATTTTTCTGTCTTCTGAGCCACAGATTTGATCCCAGGGCTTTCCGCTGGGCTCAAACGATGAGGCTGGCAGTTGAGGAGGTAAACCAGAATCTGGAGCTTTTGCCAAATTACACCCTGGGGTACAAAATCTTTGATTCGTGTGCATATCCACTGACTGGCCAGAGAGCTGCTATGGCTGTACTAAACGGGATGAGTGAAGATGACTCTCCCATGTGTAGCGGTGCTTCTCCACTCCTTGCTGTAATTGGTGAATCTGGTTCTGCTCAGTCCATTGTGGTGTCAAGAATCCTCCAGCCATTCCGAATCCCAATGGTAATAATGCCTCTTTTAGTTCTAAATCCTCCAAACCTGCAAGTCATCATTATGATCTGTTATACTCTCCTCTCCTTTTTTTTTTTTGCTTTACACAGATCAGTTACTTTTCTTCATGTGCATGTTTCACTGACAGAACAAAATACCCTACCTTTTTCAGGGTAATCCCTAATGATGATTATCAGGTAAGGGCCTGAAAACAAAACAAACAGAATGATTTGTCAGTGCTCTATCATTTAAAATATAGATGTTGAATCTTTATGTATTTTCAGTTGTTCCCTTACTGAAATAACCACAATGTATAACCAATGTAGTGATTTACAAACCATGGCATTTTGTGGTGTAGTTTTGAAACTACACTGCACTGCAGGTAATCACTACACTGAATATTAAGTAAATAAGTAAGATTTAAAATATTCAGACTAAATAACAGTAATGTAATTAATTAATTTGGTCTTCCACTGATATACTACATCAGAGTCTAAATAGCATATTAAGACTTCAACATTATTAAAATATGTCAGTGAACTGAGTAAGCTGAATTTATTCTGTTGAACCCAGGTGAAAGCAATTGCTCAGCTGCTGGTACGCTTTAACTGGACTTGGGTGGGGGTGGTGCGAGGAGATCATGAATATGGCCGTTTTGCTGTGCAAGGCTTAATGAGAGAACTACAGGGTACCAGCGTGTGTGTGGCATACCAAGAAATGATTCCTCTGCTCTACAATCAACAGAGGGCACTGGAGATCATGCAGGTAGGTAGAGACCAGCCCTGATATGACTTTTATTAGAAAGCTGCAAACATCACACTGGTGTGATATGTTTACATACTTGTGACAGCAAATTTTGCACTCTGCAAGAGATGATGCTTAAAAAAAGAGTATGCCATGAGGCCAGCCATTAAAAAAATAGCCCTGTTTGTGATTTTCAGTTACCAAAACAACATTGACTTGTAGTATATCAGGAACAAAAATCCTTACAAAAGCTGCTTTTTAATCCCAAAATAGTGTTTTTAGACTGGCACAGGCCTTTAGTCAATGTAACCCCAAATGCCAACAGATGAGATTATTACAAAAATCTAAAATCATATCAATGTGCCTTTTCCTGTCGCCATGTTTTAAAATGATGTATTTTGCCTTCCCTCTCCCTTGCAAACTCCTTCCTTCTTCCTCATGCATTATCTTTATAAAAGGTAATGCGTAGCTCTTTGGCAAGAGTGGTGGTAGTATTTTCAGCTGAGGGGGAAATGACGCCTTTCTTGAGAGACTACATGAAGCAGAACATCACTGGAATCCAGTGGGTGGCTAGTGAGGCCTGGGTCACAGCATCTGTCTTTACAGGGAAAGAGTATTACCCCTATCTGGGAGGTACAGTCGGGTTTGGCATCAGAAAAGGTTATATCTCAAGACTCAGCAACTACTTGGAAACCGTAAACCCACAGAGGTATCCCAATAATATGCTGGTAAAGGAGCTGTGGGAGGCTCTGTATGGCTGTAGTCCTTCACTGTCTTCTGCCTCCCAGTTGCCACCTTGCTCAGGGCAAGAGTCACCGCTGAAACAGCATTCAGCCTACTTGAATACATCAAGCCCTAGAGTGGCCTATAATGTATATAAGGCTGTATATGCAATTGCTCATTCCCTGCAAAACCTTCTCATGTGTCAACCAGGCAGTGGGCCTTTTAAGAACCAGTCATGTGCACAAAGTGACAATGTACTGCCTTGGCAGGTATAGTCCAGAATACTTACCATTAGTTAATACCACTTAAAGTCTTGTCTGCTGTATGTCTGTTTAAGTGTTTCATGTTATGTAATGGTTTCTCAAGCTCCAGTACTACCTGCAGGAAGTGAAATTTATAATTGCTGGGGAAGAGGTAAACTTTGACTTGAAGGGTGACTCTATACCCTATTATGATATTATCAACTGGCAGCGAGGCACAAGCGGGAACATTGAATTTGTCAACGTGGGGCTGTTTGATGGAACCAAACCTGCTGGAGAGGAGCTGGTGATCCAGGAGGACATGATAATGTGGGCAGGGGATCAGACTGAGGCAAGCTGCTCACACTGTGTTTTTACCTTCAGATGTCAACTGTTGAAGTTCTGTAGGTTAAGATGGAGGTAAGTCAGGTGTGCAGGACAGTTTGGATCTGATGTCCATCCCTTTGCATACATGGATAGTAAACAGTCAGTATTCAAAAACGAGACATAAGGCTAAGGTATGTTTGATACTCAATCCTCTCTGTAATCCTTACGGCACAACTTATCAAAGGCATTTGTAATTCTGCATTCAAATTCCATCATGACTGTTTTAAAGCAGCTAAGTTAAATACCTTGAAGCTACAATAACTTTTTTCTGTTTTGATGATAGATGCATAAATATTACAGGGAATAAATTTGTAGGTAGTAACTCCTTTCTCTGTGGGCAAATGACAGCAAAGCCTTTTCAATTTTTTTTCCTGGTTACATTGACTAAATGAATGAAGGGGAAAAAGTATGGTTCTATTATTTAATAAGTGAGGAAGGAGAAAATATTGAGCATAGTTTTCCAGGGGTTAAACTGACACTGTCATGAATCACTGTGCGGCAGGCAGGAGTTGGACCCAAAATGCAGGACTCACAGACTCAGGGAGGTGAACTCAAAACTCAGCTTTATTTGCTGGCAGGGAAAAAACATACAAACTAATCTAAACTGGGAACTTAGAAAACTCACAGAGAGACACACAGGGAGATCCACACAGCATGAGGGACGACGCGACACTGACTCAGAGAAACACAGGGTTTAAATACACTGGGAAGTAACGAGGGGAATGAGACACAGAAGGAGGGCACAGCTGGGAGAAATCAGGACTGACGAGACAAGCAAAGCAGGACGCATTCACATGAGACACGGACCATCAAAGTAAAACAGGAAGTATCACACAGAGACGCGAACTTGACACAGTGGAGACAGCAACTAAGAAATACAGAGACATAAACCATAAGGCAGAGGTCTAAGAACCAAAATACACAGGGAAATACTCAGCTGGGAACACAAGAGACTAGACTAGAGAGAGTAACAAAAAACCAACCATGAGAACATAATGCACAATGCAGAGCGACAGAAAACAAGAAACTCAAACATGCAAAGACACACAATTACACAGAACAGAGGGGACACAGAGAGACATGAAGGGCAAGGGATCAAAACTAGAAGCCATAGATTAGATCACACACAAGTACAATAATACAAAAATCACAAAGAACTAAAAACGCTGGGTCAGGAGACCCAGGACCGTGACAGACACAAATTTTAACCTACATTCTAACCTACATTATAAAATCCAGGCATTTATTTACACTGACTTTAAACAGAAGAATTTGAGGAATACATATTTTGATTCTTATTTGATTAAGCAATTAGCCTTTAATTGTTTGTATGATCATTGGCCCGAGCAAATAATTCAGTAACTAACTATTATATTCGTAGGACATTCTTTCACTCATCAGAGTTGGGATTCATATGCTTTCTACCTTGCCAGGTGCCAGTGTCTGTATGCAGTGCCAGCTGTTTTCCAGGGTCCCGGAAGGCTGTCCGTCGTGGGGAGCCTGTCTGCTGCTTTGACTGTGTACCATGTGACAATGGCAAGATTAGCAATCAGACAAGTGAGTTTAAATCTAAGTATTACAAGTCGCAGCATTTTAAATGTAATGTTCTGATACAATTAGGAAATATTTAAATGAACTCTTGCTTTTTGACTCTCTGTCTTTCAGATGCAATAGAATGCACATTTTGTCCCGAGGACTTCTGGTCAAACAAAGACAGAACAGCCTGTATCGCCAAAAAAGTGGAGTTTTTGGCCTATGATTCCTTAGGTATAGCCCTGACAGTCACTTCTGTGGTGGGGGCTTGTCTCACTATAGTTGTTTTAGCAGTGTTCTTTTACCACAGAAACACTGCCATTGTCCGTATCAATAACTCTGAACTTAGTTTCTTTATCTTATTTGCTTTAACACTGTGTTTCCTTTGTTCTCTGGTTTTCATTGGAGAGCCAACATTTTGGTCCTGCATGCTGCGTCACACTGTCTTTAGCATTACATTTTCACTTTGCATCTCCTGCATCCTGGGAAAGACACTGGTGGTGCTGGCTGCTTTCACTGCCACCCGTCCAGGGGAAAACATCATGAAGTGGTTGGGACCCAAGCAGCAGAGGGCCATTATTTTCAGCTGCACTCTTGTTCAAGTAGTTATTTGTGGCGCTTGGCTAATTGATGCACACCCTTATCCTTCACGAAATACTAAATACGAACGCTCAAAGATCATATTGGAGTGTAGCGTAGGATCAAGCCTTGCATTCTGGTGTGTTTTAGGATATATTGGTCTCCAGGCCTGTCTCTGCTTTGTACTGGCATTTCTGGCACGCAAGTTGCCAGGCAACTTCAATGAGGCCAAGTTTATCACTTTTAGCATGCTGATCTTCTGTGCTGTGTGGCTGGCATTTATTCCTGCTTATATCAGCTCCCCTGGAAATTATGCAGATGCAGTTGAATCCTTTGCCATTTTGGCCTCCAGCTTTGGCTTGCTATTCTGTCTGTTTGCTCCAAAGTGTTACATAATTTTATTAAAGTCAGAAAAAAATACAAAACAGCACCTAATGGGAAAAGAAAAGAAGTAATCAGTTAACCATTTTAAAGTTGTTTGATTTGAAATTTCTATTCACTGTTTAATATTATTTCTTGACCAATTCTAATATACAAATCTATTTCTCAAAAAGTCGTGATCAGGCTGGAGAAGAAAGTGGTACTGAAAAAAGGAGGAGGAACATTTTGCAACTAGTTAGGTCAGGGTGCCCAATCCCGGTCCTCGAGAGCTACCGTCCTGCAGCTTTTAGATGCATCCGTCTCCCAACACACTGAATCAAATGAATCTTGATTACACTTTAGCACAACACGTGATGGCAAGGCTGAATAATCAAGACCATTTGATTCAGCTGTGTTGGAGTAGGGATGCATCTAAAAGCTGCAGGACGGTAGCTCTCGAGGACCGGGATTGGGCACCCCTGAGTTAGGTTAACTGGCAGCAGGTTAGTAACCTGATTAGTTATAAAAAGAACATCTTAGAGAGACAGAGTTTCTCAGAACTATAGATGATCAGGGGTATGGCAAACTGCCAAATTCTGCATCTACATTGTTGAACAATTTAAGAATAATATTCCTCAACATTAAGTTTTGTGGGATTTGAATATGTCACCCATAATATATGGTCAATGTATGCAATATAATCAAATGTTTTCTCAGAGAACACAGTTTTCCATATCATCTACAAATGTGAGTTAAAGCTCTATCTTGCAAGAAGAAACTATATGTTAGCATGATTCAAAAAGGCCACTCTCTCCTGTGGGCCAAAGACAAGTTAAAATCCCAGCAACTGGTCTCCTCAGTTCCCAGACCTTTACACATTGCTGTTGGAAGAAGAGGGGATGCTACACAGTGGTAAACATGGGCCTGTCCCAATTTATTTGGGATGGGTTGCTTCCATCAAAAATTAGTTGATATATTTTTTTCAACAGTGCATTTTCTCAATTTAAAAATTTGTTATGTTTTTCTGTGTTATACTGGGAATAAAACAGAGATTGGCAAATTATTGTATTTTGTTTATTTACACTTTACACAAGATCCCAACTTTTTCTGGATTTGGTTTGGATTATTAGATTAGATTATTAGAACAGGGAATATAGTGTAGTAGACTGTAGAAGAAAACAAACATATATATATATATTTATTTATTTATTTTAAAAAAAAGAAAAGAAAATGTTATATTAGCGTTAAAGAAATTTGATAATATGTTGGGGGGAGACAACATTGTCTGTGGGAGGACTTGTAAAAGTAGAGCGTCTCTTCATTGCCCACCTGGCTGTGTCTTCAGAGCTCCTGCCCTGGTCTTTGTGATTCTGGTTCCCCAAACCTGCTGAACATCTTCTACACCAGTGATTCCAAAGTGTTCTTGGTCTTCTGATCAGGCCACTTAATGAAAAAGACGACAGATTCGAAAACTTAATGGTTTTCTTTCTTGGTACTGGCAGAGAGATCTGCCCCCTTTGTAGCACCCCATCACAACCCAGTAAAGCAGGGGTAGCTCCAATCTGGCCACACAAATAGCTATGGAAAACTGTTATTTAATAAATTTTACAACATGTCACGCTGATAAAGACCTCACCCATTCATGCTAGAGTAATAAAGTAATAGATGAATAATTAGATGACTGAAAAGAACAATTTTTTTTTACTTTGTACAATATATATGTACAAAGTAAAATAAATAATAAAAATAGTACATTTTCTATGAATTAACAAAAACATTCTACTTCATAATTACAGGGCAGTCTGGGGAATACACTACCAGAATTGTCTGTCAGTTTTTACATTTATTTCTTAGAGTTTAAGCAAAAAGATTGGTGCTGACAGCTTTCTTTCATTTACTAAAACATTGTTAATTTATTATATAGAAAAACTGAGACCTGCTCTTGAATGTAATCCTCTTTTAGTTATAATGTGATATCTCATTAAATGTGTAGGTATCTGGCCAATGTTCCCTCTAAGCTGCGCGCATGCACAGTTGCGCACTGCTGGCATGGTCTCTGCTCACAGAAAATCTGCATTGCGCACAGAAAAAAATCTAACCTGAATTGAAATTAAAATTAAAACTTCAACAATTCTGTTGCAGTGTTAGTCAGTAAGTGGCTGGCTGCTCCCGTATGGGATTAGAACGATGCC